CTTTTTATTTTATAGAATAGACAGATGTATTAATTTCATGTAATTTTTAATGTATCTCCTTTGTTCTTCTGTATCTTCGTGGACTTTTCTTTCTTTCTATTTTTTTTCCTACCTCATCCTCCTATATTTTCTGTTCTCTTTTGTGTTATTTTGCCAAGGTGTTTCCTTTCTGTTTCCTCCACTCATCCCATCTGTTCTCAGTCTCTTTCTCATGTGTGTATTGATATCAAAAGATGTCAATGGTACGCATGCCTACACCACACATCTACGTTTTAGATTTTGACTACCCAAAAATGGGAAGTATTTTTCTACTCACTTCCAAAATCTATTTAGTTTCCTACTTACATCATGTGTTATGAGGCAATAGTGACATTCATATTTACTGGATTAAATGTAGCTCTGGTTATTAGGAAGGAAACTGACTGTAAGAGAGTAATGCAATTTGTTATTGGAAGATTAAAATAGGTTTTCTGGTTTAATGAATGTCCACATCTGTTCATGGTAGTGGAAAACTCAGGGCTTTGAAGGAGTCACGTTTGGGGTGCCCATGGGCACATTAACTTGTTGTCATCCGTCTTGTGTCTGATGCCCAGGCATCCTCCTGAGGGCCTGTGCACAGCCTGCGGAGCTGCCTGGGCCTGGCAAGACCCTCACCTCCTCCCTGTGCACATGAACGTCGATTACTTTTTTTCTTCAGGCTTTGGAGGGTAAATTTCAGTCGTCTCTACAAGGCGAGTGGCAAGCTAATTATTTGCCTGGACTGCAAATCTGGTTCTGCAGGGGACTTAGGCAGAGACATGCATGTAGTCTGAGACCCAGCTTTTGCTGTGGAATGGCCCAGTGTTGCGATGTTGTAGTCTGAAATAAGTAGCAAATTGAAAAGATAACAAATTTTTTTAAATTTGTTTCTGAAAGAAAAAAACAATTCTTAAATGTTACTTTGGTCTCAGGCAATGATTTTTCTTTGCACAATGTTTATAATGGGCAAGACAACTTTATATAAACAAGTCTACATGATGAACTCAATTTGCACAAATCCAGGTGCAGTTCTGTGAGAGCTACACTACCAACCCTTTAAAACAGGGGGGAGGGAAGGAGTGAGATGTGATTTGGACCATCTCAAGGGATCTGTATTGTGAGCTATTTCGATGAGAGTATGAATTCTGAGAAAGCAGTGAGAAACAGGAAATATTTACGGGAGTATTACAGCTCTCGTAGCATTAACATTAGAAGCTTTGAGTTACTCACTGAATAAAGTTGGATGAGATGCTGTCTGTCTTCAAGCATAATTTCACTGCTCCATCCAATGAATACTAATTTGAAAAGACTGGCTAATCTGGTGGCTTAATTGCTTTCAGCATGATTTATATTTCTTTATTTTTGAGTTGTCACCATTTTTCTAAACTGGTGATAGAGTAGTAACTCGTTTTTCAACTGGATGACATATTATTTCTTTGAGAAGTAGTAAGAATGCAGGTGTCACGGGGTCAGTAATTTCTCTGTGTGTTTGTGAGACCATAGCAGAGTGAAGCTGTATGAAGTGCTGGCATTGAGGGCAAGACACGTGATGCCCTTGGAAAATTTCGGAAGTTAAAATGTAGGCTGTTGCTCTTCTATGAAGAGAATGCTCCAAGTGATATCAGAGGAAACAGATTCACAAAGTGATTCTTCCGGAAGGAAGGTGGAAGGAGGCGAGTCTCCAAATAAGAACAGTAGCTCTTGGTCCTATAACATTTGTTGCGTGGAGAACAGAAGTATAAACATCAAGACTGTAGTCTTCTAAATCAGCGTGACTGAGATTGTCTCAAGTTGAGCTGCACAATGTTTCTTGAAAGTTTTGTGTCTAAATCAAGAGCTTTTATTGCTGTGAATGAGTGAAACTGATTCCTGAAGACTATTGTGTCTTGGGACAACTAACTGTCTGAGCAGTTCAGTAGCAGTTAAAATCCCTAAAAAAGTAGATACATTTTTAAAATAGAAATAGATTCTGCATCTTTCTGCCTCTAAGTTTTAAAACTTTGCTATTAATGTAGAGTTGTGGGCTTTTTTTTGCGTGTGTGCGCTACCAGAAATCTCCTTGTTATATGTACTGTGATCAAGTCAACTCTGGCCATTTTCTTGAAAGAACTTACATAGGCTATGTTTCTGTAATGTTTCTCTGTAAAAAATGGTTTTTGAGACCCTGATTCATGTCTTTCTGATCACCCTCTGGTTTGCCAATCTTCTCTTTAAAACAAGAAGTTTAAGACAAGACGTTAAACCGTGTTCTCGTGGATGATATCAATAGTAATATTTCTGCTTGAAATTCTTGTTCTCCTATATGTTCCCCCACTGACATTCTTATTCTCGGCCCGCACTGCTGGTGAACGTGTGAGGTTTTGGGGGATGGTGGTTAGTTTTTTTTTGTTTACTTTGTCATTACCTCTGACAGAAAGAACTAGAAAGAGGGATGTTGCAGCTTAAGGTGCTAAATTACACGTGGGGTGAATGAGGTTCATGTTCTTGCTCTCATATCTTTCCCTTTATTGTCTCAACCAGTATCTTTGTGTCATCTCCACATGCACAAAGTGAAGATGATATGTCTCTTTCCCCTCCAGGACAGCACTAAAGAAAGCTGTCCATAAACCACAATTTCTCTATTGGGGAAGTTCTTCTGAGTATCAGGTTCTGTAATCTGTTTTTACAATTTACCAGGACTTTTCTGCCTTTTGTCAATTTTTTGTCTTGTGTCTGAAATGACATAGAACTTGCCATGTACTTTTATGTATTTACATTTCCAGAAAAAATTGTTTAATTTTCACTCATAACTCTGCAGTGTCATTAAATTAACTTTTATGTACTGAAGAAAGATGAAATATTCTACCTTAAAATAAGTTTGAGATGTCTCAGAATATCTTGGCAATTGCATAACTACTTATTGCAGAAATTGTTACTCTCTTTCCTGTCTGCAACACATATCCATAAGAAGCATCTTTGGGAGAAAGTTAGAAATACAAAGAAATTAACCATCTTGGACATGTGATATGAATTTTTAAGTAGTGATACAGCCAGATGTCTGTTGAGTTACAAGCGCAGCCTTAGCTTTCTAAGCAAAGCACAGAGAAGGCACCGTCCTTTGCACTTTTATTATGTCTCGTTATCCCGTTTTGCACAGAAATTTGGTCAATTTTTCAGTGATAAACAGCCAGTATACCAGTGGAAGAACTAATTATTGTTGATTTTTGTTTCCAGAAAGCAGTAAACTCTAGAGTTTAATTGCAAAATTGTAATTAATGTACCCCTTCCTTTCGAAAACGAAATTATAGAGTTAATGGCTATGACTATTCCAGTCTGTTTCTGCATTTAGCTTTGTACAGCGAATACAGCTGTATTTCTGTATACCAGGAAACTGTATACCAGTTTCCTCAGCTAAATGCTTTTTAATCCTGACATAGTCTCTTGTGGATGATGTGGTAGTTACTCTGATGACCTTTGGAAATGGTCAGTAAGGTTATGGGTATCGGTGGTTTGCCCACTGAAATCCTAAGTGGAATGGAAGGAAATAAAGTCCTTTCTTGGAGAGTAACAAATGGCTACGCAGGGATTTTGAGGGTAACCCAGCACAGTTTGGATTTAAGGCTAGTGACATGAAGATGGAAGGCTTCCCTTCTACGGTTACGCCGAGCCTCTTGTGCTGCTTTTGGTGTGGAGGCTTAATGGTTTGTTTTAGAGGGATTGTCTTATATTGGTGTCGATAGAGGTGGTTTGAATATCAGACTCTGTAACTGTCGTCGTTAGATGTGCGGCCACTCCATCTCAGATATGCTTGTCTTTAAATGGATGGGATACCGATTCCTAGTCCTTTTTTAATAGTAATGTCCATGTGGTAGAATACCTTGAGCAATTTCTTTTTCAGACGTGGTTTGAATGAACATTTATTTTTTTTATAGCCCTAAGATGTCATATTTTCTGTTTAAATTGTTCACTTTGCTTACACATTTTTCCTCATTATATGAGTCTAAAACGGAGTTATCTGATTATAATAGTCTAAAATGAGAGTTAGTACAGTCTGTAGTCCCACGCAAGAAGTCCTGTGTAAAACAAGAAGATGAGTATTTGCTGTGAGGAAAGTCCATATCGTTTTAGCTACAAGAATTCTGAAACTTGCTATGCATACCTATGATAAAAAGTGACACTATTATGGACTTGTAAGTGTTAAATAAAAATTTTCCTACTGTTGACTATATACACTTCCCCAGGAACTAGTAATGGTTTCCAATTCCATGTGGACTGGAAACAGAAGGAATAGCATGGACCTGTCACTGTTTACACTTTTGATATGGAATGTTCATTTAAAAATACAGTTCATTTGTATGAACCAAGATATTTCCTTTTAGTCTTACGCATTTTTAGTATGCTCGTTGCCTTAATGTCATGGTGCTAGATTGCTAGCTGACATTTGAAAAGGAATGTGCACCTCTAGAGATTTCTCATAACGTATATAATATTGTCTCTTAGAGTTCTGATGTGTAGATAATGTATTATTTTACATAAATAACGATTTCAATTCAAGCTACTCAGAATCAGTTCTGATTGATAACACACACCCCTTCCTGTGATTATGGTCTCTATTTTGAATTCTGCTGCTTGTATTGTTTTTAAATACTTTTTTCTTCATTTCTAAGAGCAAACCGACTGTGATCTATTTTCTGTTTACAGTTTTCCATTTACATTTTCAGTTGAACTTGTCTGCTTTATTTTGTTAATGTTTCATGTTTTTCTTTGCAAAACATGGACTTTATTTTGAGCCTGCAAATACTCCTGTAAAGTAGATTTGAATGTTTTCTCAAATCATGGAATAAAGTTGATTTGCCAGATCTTTCTTTCAGACTTTGGCTTTTTTTGGTTCCATGTAAATCATAAGGAATAAGTTCTAGCTTACTAATGGAGTTCCTTTGTTGCCATTGCTAGTTGCTTTGCAACTCACTTCGCTAACATATTTTTAAATGATTTTTCTGTAGCAAAGTGATGGCTATCGAACTTTATCCTTGTCCGGGCATGTTGGTTTTGGTAGTTTACCTGATCAACTGGTTAAAAAATCCATCAAGCAGGGATTCTGCTTCAATATTCTTTGCATTGGTAAGTAGTATCTGAGTGGTTTAAGATTTTAGTAGTGTATGCGTCCTTAGGAAGTGACTGAAATTTAAATCCAGTTGCAATGTTAAACTCTTTCTTTAATGTTAAGCATTAACTATAATTCTGCCGCTTCCCCCAGCTTTTTTTATTTGTATCTATGCTTTGTTTTTATATTTAACATTTTCATAAACGGCATGAAGACCACAAATGTTGAAAATGGATGCCATGCATTTATTGATTTTTGAGCGACTTTTTGGATTCTTTTGAGTAAACTGGGCTACACACTATTTTTACTGTAACAAAGAGCTTCAGATCAGAAAATCCTAAAATTCCAAGGTGGTGTTACTGTAGTATTTCTGCACTTACCAAGTTGATGTTTGCTGTAGTATTTTACCCTTATTCATAAAAATGCTATGTTGAACCCTGTGGTTTCATAGCTAGTTACCTTTTTAAAGTCTGTAGGAAATTAGTTCACACTTTTAAACAAAGCAAAGTGTCAAGAGACTCTTCTGTTTATTACTCATTAGCAAGTAACTCTCTCTTATCTGTAGGATGAAAATATTAACAAAAAGATATTTAGTGCTCATTATGAAAAAGGAATGCAGGCAACCATTTTGCTCCAAGAAATCAGTTGTCAAGTTTTTGTGTAAATTTGTCGAGTTGCTGTGATAACAGTCTCTGTGCTTAGTAGGTATTTATTTGATGTGCAAAATGTCTTCCCCAACCCTTCTGTTTAACTTTAGGAGAGACTGGAAGTGGGAAGTCAACCTTGATAAACAGTTTGTTTAACACCAATTTTGATGACCCTGTGTCAACGCATTTTCTGCCAAATGTGCGACTTAGAGCCCAGACTTACGAACTCCAGGAAAGTAATGTGCTTTTGAAGCTGACCATTGTAAATACAGTGGGATTTGGTGACCAGATAAACAAAGAAGATAGGTAAGTGCCCTCTTGTTTCTATGGTATACAGAAGTTTTAGTCTTCAATTTCAAGTTGATTTTTCTTTGGGCTTTGTAGTAAATATTTGTCTTACATATGCTCAAAATATTTGGTTAACTGTTTTCTCTGTGTACCAAATTAAAATGTTTTCCTTTTCATCTAGGAAATGATTTGAGAAATCAGATCTGCCTCTTCCTTTATGATATAATCTTTTATAAATGTATGTAAATAAAATGTGCAGTAGTGACTAGGGTCGCTATTTAGGGTGGAGGAAAGCAGGAAGGTCAACCGGAGACTTTCTAAACAACCAAACAGGTTATAAGGTACTGTAGATTATAGACATTAGATCTATAGGGCTTTTAACAGTTTGATTGGAACATGTTGAAGATCTTAAACTGGAAGGAATATCACATGGATTACTGAAGGCCTTTGGTTTTTATGTTGGACAGCTTAATGTAGAGGTACCACACCAGTGTCTTTCAGAACTTCTTCAGAGTCTCTACTTTTATAAATTGAAGATTTAAAAGTATTGAACTGGCTGTCAGCAGATTTTGTTTCTTTCATCTTGATTGTAAAGAATTTTAGCAATCCTTTGTGCTATATGAGTGCCTAAATGGTGATAATTATAAATGAAGGTTAGAGGGTCATATTAAGATTATCATGAGTGCTATGGTTTATGATATGACTGGAAAATAACTACTGCTAGTGACTTAGAAGAATGAGATGCAAGTTGATATTAGTATAGATATTAGAGGTGGTGATGTGTGGTATGGGACCTGCCTTTTAGTTCTTCTTTTAATTTTGTGTGTTACTTCTCAAGTTTGATAGCATTTGATCTGGTTTATAAACTTTGTGTAGCAGCAGAAATGTAAGGGCATGCTGCTTGTACATCTAGCAACGCTTTCTTTTAGAAAGTAGAGTATAATCTGGTTTTAAGTAGGATAAAGTATACTTAAACTGTACTTATTACAAATCAGATTTACATTCTTCTCTTATGTTCCTCCTTTTCAATTTTTGTCTATTGTTTAAGAGCTCTCTCATGTACAGTACTTCATCTTCAGAAGATAAAGGAGGTCCTATTTCTTGGTACTGGTAATTGCATGTTCTTCCTTTTCTTCTATTGTATCTAAGAGTTTCTTTTATCTTCCTTATATCTAAGATTTCTGCAGTTGCACAGCTTTATTGCAAAAATTTATAAAACATCACTTGGGAGGACTGGTTATAACCATAACTATATGTAGCTTTTTTTGCTAATAGTAGCTAGGAAATGTTTCATGTGTATTAGGTGCACAATTCTTTTTTTGAGTAGCCTTTCAGAAATTAAGATTACTCTGCACATTTAATTTTCTGCTGTACTGGGTAGATACTTCAGAAGCTTTTTGACATGTAAAGTAAAAATCCACAAAACAATACAAGAGGAATTCTTTTCTTAGTCTGTCTCTGTTTAGGAGTAGCTAATCTCTGATTGTTAAATTTTATTTCTTACAGCTATCAGCCAATAGTGGATTATATAGATGCACAATTTGAAGCCTTTCTCCAGGAAGAGCTGAAAATTAAACGTTCTTTATTTAGCTACCATGACACTCGCATCCATGTCTGCCTCTATTTCATTTCACCTACAGGCCACTCCCTAAAAACCTTAGATTTGTTAACCATGAAAAGCCTAGACAGCAAGGTAAGACTTTGAAACAGAGTTCTAAGAATTTTTCTTATTTTCTGAGGTGTCTTGCAGCTTTTAGATCCTCTACCACTTTTCAGTTCTGTATCTGTGTGTTTGTTTTTGGGATGCTTTTTGGTACTGGTATACTTAAAGTTCAGAATAAATTGGTTTCGCAAGTAGCTTGCATTCATCTCCTGTTTATTTACAAATCAAAAGGAAAGAGACAGACATCCAGCAAGAATGTTGAAAAAAGCAGCACAACACGATTTAAAAAGAAAAGTAAAAAAACCCCCACCGTTTAAAAAGAAAGAGTAAAAAAAACTAGAACCACACCAACTTTGCTTTTAACAAACTGTTAACATCTTATTATGATTAGATAGGGTACCCTCTATGAGTGCTGTAATATTTCTAATTAAGCTTGTTTCTAGTTCACTGTTGAGTTTTGGGACTGCTGGAAAGTTGGGGCCCATAAGAAAGCTGGAGAGGGACTTTTTACAAGGGCATATAGTGACAGGACAAGGGGCAATGGCTTTAAACTGAAAGAGGGGAGATTTAGATTAGATCTAAGGAAGAAATTCCTCACTCTGAAGGTGGTGAAACACTGGAACAGGTTGCCTAGAAAAGTTGAGGATGCCCCATCCCTGGAGGTGTTCAAGGCCAGGTTGGATGAGGCTTTGGGCAACCTGATCCAGTGCAAGGTGTCCCTGCCCATGGCAGGGGGATTGGAACTAGATGGTCTTTAAGGTCCCTTCCAACCCAAACTGTTCTATGATTCTATATAAAAAGCTTTGCAGCACTGCGAAGATGTTTTTTACAGATAACTGAAGAGGCAAGTGTCATGCACAGAACTCCCTGCCAGCATGGCTTTTTCTAAGAGACGCTGAATTAGTGTTTTAAACTTCACATCTTGATTTGTTTTGAAAGCTTTAAAATAGCAGTTTCTAGTGTGATTACTTGCACTTTGTAAATTCTTAACTTTCTTCATGTAATTGGGCTGTTTGAATTGGATGAACGGTTTAACCCATTTTAAGAAACCTTACATCCTTTGTGTTTAATTTGTTGAAATTTTGAGGAATTTGAAAACTTAAGTGCGTTTGCTCTTTCTCTAGCCCTTTCCTTTGTGCTTTACTAGAGCCTTTCCTGCTAAATTTTCTTCTGCATTTTTTTTGTTTATGAGATAACAAGGATCAAATCAGCTCTCTGTTTCGTATTTGTGATTGATGAGCACATTTGGTATTTCTGTAATTTTGTTTGTGGATGTATTTTGCATTTTGAACTTTCTCAATAGGACAGAGCAAGTAGAGGAGAGGAGTGGTGGGACAAAGGTAGGGAAGAGCAGGGTTGCTTTTTTCTGCCATGGTGTTTGTTTATGCCAGATTAAATTTTTGAGAAACTACTCTGTAATATGCACTGATAGTTAAAGTGCTTCGATACTAGAAAATGGCACAGTTTCATGAAGCATATTGTTCTACTCTGAGTTTTGACGTTGGAGGTTGTGTTAAACCACAAAACCAGTTGGTTGCTAGGTTGTGCCCTCTCTTTACTAAACTCCCTTTAAAACAGTGTTTTTTTCCAAAAGAAAAAAAAATAGATCCATGAGTCCCAGTATCTTGAGAAAATATATTTCTGTCAGGATTAAATGAAAATAATTCTGCTTTGGGGGATTTTAGCTTCTAGCCACCTACTCTAAGTATTTTTGGTTATGCTTTGGCTCAGAGAGAACATGGTAACTTTGTTGTTTTATCCCTTTACAATGGATTCTACTTCCTGATCTTACTACAGAAATGTAAGTATACACAAAAAGAAAAGGTACATATTTTAACTGTAGTTTGGTTACCATCCCATTGTGGAACATGTTTATGATGGTTTTAGTTAGTACTGCCTTCTCCTAGTGGCAATTCAGAACTCAGGATTTCCTGGGATGTGAAAGTCTCTGTGTGCCTTCGCTGAGTACAGGATTCCATAGAGAGAAGGTGATACAGCAACATGCATACATCAAGTGTACAAATCGATGTCAAAATAGTCTTCAGATTCTTCCTAAATCCACCACAGTGTACACTGTTATGCTTTTGTTATGGTCTGCTTGGTACAAAACAAGACCAGATTACACGTCTCAGAGATAAAGAGGATTCTTAGAATAGGATAGTGTCATCCTGTGCTCTGTAATCCTGGGGAAAAAAAAACCCAAACAACCAGGTGTATCTGTGGGCAATTAATTTTTCTGTGTTGCTTATAAATTTGATGACTAGCTAATAATTTGCCCTCTAGCTTTTAGATATTGGAAAGTCCTGTAGTTTTTGCTTAGGACTGATTCACTATAGACTAGCCAGGTTTCATTCACAGATGAAGGGAGTCATCTTCTGTATGCTTTCTTGCTGGGAAATAGTGATTATTCAACTAATCTGCATTTTTAAGTAATTCTTGTAGAATAATATAGAGATTATTGTTAAGTCAGGAAATGACAGGATTGTACCTTGTGAGGTTTGAGTTGGGTTTTTTTTTCCTTCAAAAAAATCTTTGAAAAGTTTTGTATTGATTCATAGAGATACACTTAAATCAGCCTGCAAGGTATCAACCAATAATAATTTCAAGTATACATGTTTTTTTTCCTTCTCTATAGAATAAAGGAACAACAGATGTTTTGACATTAATGTAAGATGTTACATAAAAATATTAGTTTAAAGTAATAGCATGTTTTCTAATTGAGGGGGTGAAGCAACACTTTGCATTTCAGGCAGAAGGATCATCAGAGGGCTGAATCTGATGCTAGCAAACAGAGAAATGATGTGCATGGATAAAGTTTCTCCTGGAGACTTTGTATGGTCATTCTGCATTGCTATTAAATAAGGCACTCTCAGCTGCTTCTTCCCATTGTGCACGCTGAAATGTTTTGGGCAGCCAGTTCCCTGGATGAGGGGACTGATTTAAATTGAAAGCTGAAGACTTTTGCTTGGTTAGGGAACTGATCAAGCTGAAAAGTAGTATGTCTCCTTGGACAGCTGCACAGATTTTAGTTCTACCTGGCAATGAGCAGCTGCAGGCAAGGGGAAGGGCTGTTGGTTTTATTGCAAATGTAGACTTTCTGTGTGAGGTCAAAGTGATTCTGCATTAATGGCATATAGCTTTGTAGCAAAATTTAGTTTTGTAGTTGTTGAGAGTTGTAGCGGAGGAAGAGGCTGGGAGAGAGTCAGTTGGTTTCTGAGGCATAGGAGGGAGCAGTGGGACTTGGTGCACATCTATATGTGGTCCAAAACAATACAATTTCAGTCTCTTGTTAGTACAAGTGTGTGCTTTCAATTAATGCTATTCTTGGATGAAAGTACTGAGATACTAGTTTTCAAGTAAATCTAAGATGCTGCAAGCAGAAATTAATTTTGTTTAACAGATGAAGCAAAGATAACTTCTTTTTATTGCTTATCTAAAACCAGAGTAGTAGTGCTTTTAAATTTTAATACAGTGGTTGTGATTTACTGTCAATGTTGATAGCTGTAATCATAGTTTCTGGTGATTTTGCTTTCTTTTGTCACTGATCTCAGTAGCCTTTCTCTGCTATTCATTATCTAAGAAATTCTCTCTTAGTTAATGAGTGCTTGAAAAACTTTCATGTTGGAAAAACAGAGTAAAGGTTAATTTAATTCTGATGACTCTGTTTTCCATCCATTTTTGAAGCTGTATAGTAGAAAACCTAAATTGATGTCCCTCAGCTAATTTGACTGAAGCCGTGAATTACTCCTAGCTGTAATAGATTGTTTAGATAACCCTAAATTAACTCAGTAGATATTTTACCCCATATGTGCTTAGATTGCGTATGCTACAAAATTATAGATTATCATCAGGTAATCTTAGAAGTCATACTTTGGAGTTGGCATCCTTTTTTTTCATTTGGACATTTTGCTTAAGACAGAAGACTTATTTCAAAATCATCCATTTTGAATCCATTCTTGAGATTCCATGCTTAGGCATTTCCATTCAGACAGAATATTGAGAAAAATAAACAGAGTGTGTGCGAGGTTTCTTCTTTTTTTGGTCTTTTTTTTCTTTTTTTTCCTCTTTTTCCTTTTTGCATCTGTGATCAAGGAACTCTGTAAAACTCTCGTCTTCTGAAATCTGGAAGAATTATTTGTATTCTTCCAAAATATTTGGACATTGACATAAATTCTTTGTATTTAGTTCTGAAAAATGCATATTTTGGGAGTGGTGATAGTATTTTTAACAAAAATTTGGCTTCTACTACCTTCCTAGGTTACTGTCATAACTATTTTAGGAAACAAGGCGGTTTACCTTAGTAGAACTGAATTTCGACTTCTGAATAATTAGCATAAAGATTAGTAAGCAAGATTCTTCAGTCTTTGTCATTCCTCTGCTCACAGCAGATACTTAAGAAAATCTTTGCTGCAGTGGTGAGGTGAACAAGATGTTCTTGTAGCTGAAAGGAACCCAAGGAAGAAGCTCAGGGGTAGGCAGGGTTTGGTAGCCAGCTTCCTTTTCTTTGTGTATTTAAACTGTCAACTTTCATTTAACCCCTGAACCATTTGCCCCAGTGCTATAAACTAAAACAATCTTATTTTTTTTAGCAGAGATATAAATACTTAATGTAATTTAGTTAATAAGTAGATGTTGCTGTTCTTATGAGTACTTCACTGTATGAGACCTCCTTCCTTGTTCTTTTCTCAGAATCAATTAATTTTAAGGGAGTGTATTAAATAATCTGTTATTTTGTTAAGTGATGCCAGTGAATGTATTTTTCATGATTTGTAAAGCTTTGATATAAATTGATGGAAAAGTTTGGACTGCGTTTTTTGGACTGAAGTTGTAAAGAGCTTATCACCAAACAATTTAATTTATAAAAGATATCACCTCAAAATTCAAGTCTTACACATTTCATATAATTTGTATCATTAATAGGTGAACATTATACCAATTATAGGCAAAGCAGACAGCATTTCTAAAACCGAACTACAGAAGTTCAAGAACAAAATCATGAGTGAATTAGTTAGTAATGGCGTCCAGATATACCAGTTCCCAACTGATGATGAAACCGTTTCTAAAACTAATACCATCATGAATGTAAGTAAATGAGAAAAACATTGATATATCAGTACTAAAGCATCACTCTCTCTTGTAGATTCATGCTTGTTCTTTCACCATTATCTTAAGGCTTATAGGTTTATGTGTAACAAGTTTGTTTATTTTTCTCTCTCCTAAAAGAGCTTGTATGTTTTGGGGTCTTTTCTCACAAATCTTCCTGTCCCTCTGTTGTTGGTACTACTTGTTTTAGGAGGCTTTTTCTTTTCTGACTCAGCAACAGTGAAGAGATTCTCACTCATAAATACTTTTTCTAATTTCTGTGTAATTAATATATAATAACTAACATAGATGGACAGATTTGCTTTGCTCTTTTCCTCAGCAAATACTACCTCACATCCGTTAGGGAAGATATTCAAGAGCCTGTTTCTCCAGTTTTCTCTGGTCTTTATCATAGCAAGTCTTCCATCTGCTTTTTCCTTTTATTTATTACTTTCATTTTAAAGTAGGACACGTTTTCTCTGGGGATTAAAAAGTCAGATATAATTCTGGCTTTTTTACTGTTGTTCTTTCAGATCTTCCCGAGAGTATCTGCCAGCTTCAACGAAGCTTGTGACTCTAGACATCCTTGCTTTGAGCACTCTCTCTGTATTTGCTGTTCATGTGCATATGTTTGTTGTAGATGCGCATGAATGTACGTTTGCATGTACTGGGGTTTGAAAGTAGGGAGGAGGAGCCGGTATGCCGGAGTGTATGGATGGTTCTACAGTCCCAACCTCTGTCCCTTGTGCCAGGGAGTGAGGATATGCAAAGCTGTCATTCAGTAGCAGGTCCTTCTGCTGTGGGGAAAGGTGGTGGTCTGTGACATATCCCTTTCATGCTCTGCTAGTGATGTATTTTCCACTTTATGTTTTTTTTTTTTTTTCATCTGGTCGATTGTTGTGGGTCAGCACACAGAGGGTCAGGTCAGTACCCAGCCTGTATTTATGGCCGTTTGGTCAAGCCCACAGCAGTAACCATATCACAGGTTCAAACCTGAGATCATATCATATGACTGTTACTGGGGGTATGAACTCCGGCTGAATGCGAATCAGAGGGACGTATTCTAGAGTGGCTTTCTATTTACTGCTGATGCTCTTCCTAATGCAGCTCAGGGTGTAGTTGGCTGCCTTTGCCATGGGGGCAAACCTGCTGAATCAAGTCCAACCTGTTGTCCACCAGGAACCCCACATCTTTTTCTGCAGAGTGCCTTTCCAGGCAGTTGGTCCCCAACATATGCTGGAGCATGGGGTTATTCCTCATGATGTGCAGGACCTGGCATTGCTCTCATTTGAACTTCATGAGTTGCCTGTTGGCCCATTTCTCCAGCCCGTCAAGGTTCCTCTGAATTGGCAGCACATCCATCTGGTCTATCAACAGCTCTTCCCAGTTTTGTTATTGTAGCTTGGCTTTTATATCAGTAGTTTTGACTAGCTACTGATATCTTCAAAGTGGTTTTTGGTTTGAAACTCACTGTTGGCTTTTCTTGAAATGATGTTTCTTTCCCCTAATTTATTTCTGAAGTGTTTGCTTTTCAGTTCTGACAAAAGAATAGTGAGAGATAAGAATGTATTGGTGTGACTTTTACAGGGGCATTTGCCATTTGCTGTAGTAGGAAGTACAGAAGAGGTGAAAATTGGAAACAAAATGATGAGAGTTCGTCAATACCCGTGGGGCATTGTACAAGGTAAATGAATTCTCAAAGGTATTTTTAGGAGTTTTTTGTTGTTGAAGTATAAAATTTACCAATGCTAAAAGGGGCTGGTATTATCCACTGATGCCATATGGATTGTATTTTGGATCAATGGTTTAAGGAGCTTAGTAATTAATACTTGAAGTGTGCACTGACTGGTAGTTTAATCAGCACTGACAGCTATGAGATGGTGTATGTAATATTTGAGTAGGCTAGTATGGTGGCAGTGCCTCTAGCACTACCAAATTTCAAAGTTTTATAATTGTCAATAAAGAAGAGGGAAAAAAGAGAAATTTGTCGTTACTCGACTGGAAGAGGAAACTGGGACGTGTTGGAACACGTTTACCAGTACTTACAGTTAGTGCCTCAATGTGTTTATTAGAAATTATAAGGAAGTATAAGAGGTATAATAAACAATGAGATACCTTTTCCTGGAAGTAAAATTAGTAAACAAAATAAATGAATCTCAACACTGTTTAAAATGTATTTTAACAATTTTGCTACTTGTGCATAATAATAAAATCTTCCTCTTTTAACTTATTAGTGGAAAACGAGAACCACTGTGACTTTGTAAAGCTTCGTGAGATGCTTATTTGCACAAATATGGAAGACTTAAGAGAGCAGACTCACGCACGGCATTATGAGTTGTACAGGCGCTGCAGACTGGAAGAGATGGGCTTCAGAGACACTGGCCCAGATAACGAACCAGTCAGGTAAAGGGCTTCGTGTCCACCACTGGCTTTCAGCATCCATTCACTTCACATTTGACTGTATCAACCCAATACAGAGTGTGGTTCATACATCAAATAGGTTTTCTAAGAGGGAAAGAATTGGGATTTTTTTTAATCAGAGTAAGTATGTAGCCGTTCATTCCGTTATCTTCGTGGAGAAGTATATGGGACTATATGAGCATTGCTTTTAAAGGCATACAAGCTAGTTGTATTTCTGAAATCTTTCTCTTTTAGAATAAACCTGGGGATTTTAATTTTTTGTCGTAAGAGAAGGTCAGTTTTCTTCAGGTACATGCACTTTATGCCTTTTAAATTATTTTCATTATATATTAGCATGCTGTTTTACTTTGTCTCTTGTCTCTCTGCCTGATTCCAAACAATGGTTTGACTGGACTCAAAGTTCAGAAGGAACTGAAGCAAAAACTTTCATAAAATCATTGGTTACACTGTTGGCTTCCCTCATTATCTGCCATAATAACAGATATCTAGCCTTTTCAGGTCAAGAATTTCTTACTAGACTGTAGGAAGCTAATAAAGGATTCCAAAGGAAAGTTAAGCAGAGAGTTAGAGAGACTTGGTTGTTTAATGTAGTAAAGCTGCTTTCTGAAGGAGGTATTTACAATTTCTATGTCCAGTTTATTTAATCTTTTATTTCCAATTCTGCCATCTCCCTGTCTGTCTTCCAACTTCCTTTGGCTGTTTGATGCATGGGACTGTAAGTGGTTAGAATCCTGATGGAGAAGAACTGATGCTTCAGAGTTGTTCAAGCCTTCATGGTTTAGCAAAGTGCTATTATTGCATAGTCGTCATGGGAAGTACTGACTTAAACCAAACCTGAAAACAAAAGTATGACTTTGCATTAAAAACATTTTCTAGTGCTTTGAACCAACTGGTTTGTTTACATCTTGTCTCACTTAGTGATCAGACTGTCTTTACCCATTCTGTTCTGGTAAAATTAAATGACTTTTAAATGGCTTCCCTCCAAATAGTTGTTTTTAATGGCTTGAATTCTTTTCTTCCACCTGTACTTTGCATTGAAGTTCTAAGGCAGTTGCAGTTACTGTAACTCATAGAGTATTGAAGGAGCAGCATTTCTTTGACTTTGACTAGGTCTAATTTATATATTGTTCAAACAACAATAATAAAATAAGATTAACGTGGACAAGGAAGATGCTGGATGTGGACCTTCCTTTCTGAATTCTTCATGTCAAGGCACATTGAAAGGTTTGTTACCGCTGGGCTAAACCATGACATTAATTTAGATGATCTTGAGCTGACCATGAATCACAGTGGTGTCTTGAAATTTCTCTTGACTTAAAATAAAGGAATAAATCCTTTTCATAAATAGAGAACTAAAGGTGAATGAGGTTTAAAACCAACTGAAACTGACTGTAGACTTTTCCTTTGGTTTAGATTTAAGTTTAAGACCATACACTAACAGCTGATATCTTATTATCTTTGTCTAGGGAAAGCTTTTTTAGAGATTTGTTCATAATGATATTGACTGCAGTCCTCTGGCTTTTCTGAACTTGAATTTCACAATGTACAGCCATCTCAAGATACGAGTTAAATTATAAAAATTGTCATCCACAGAACTGTTTTTTTTTTCATAAACACAAGAAATGTCTTTGTAAAACCCCTATACAGTTTGCATTTTACTAGTGGTATAAAGCGGCAGGTTTGTATCACAGAATGTCATAGTATTTTACACTTCAAAAGTTGATTTAGAAATGGATTGCTTCGTGGAGATACAGAAAAGCTAAGTTCCCTCTGATGTGTAGTTTTTATGTATAGCCCACTAAATGTCAGGTTTTTAAAAGCTTTTTGGCAAGACAATACACTTCATAATTAGTTTTGGTAAACCACGTCTATTGAAAATATCATTGTTTTGGAAGGATGAGAATAGGTGTTCTATAAATATCTAGAAAAAAATTACCTTTTTCCCATATTTAGTGCAATAGGAAAAGTGGGACTGGGTCTAGGATGTGTGGTTGTCGCTCAGTTATGTGGCATAGTGAATGACACTGAGGTCTGAAAGAGAAGGCATTTGGTCATTTGGGAGAGATGTTTTACGATACCATAAAAAGAGAAGAGAATTTAGAGGATCTGTATGTAGTGTAATTAGCAGATTAATGTAGCCTTACCCATAAGGTGTTTTATGAAGCTACTGAAGAAACGATAAAAAGTGTCATCCTCAGGAGTGTGATAGAAAACTTCTCTTTCCATAGAGGAAGTTAAATGCTTCCCATTTTGCTGACTTGTAAATTTAAATCTTTCAGAATAGGGACTATCCTCTTCTGCTAGGCAAAAATGTGTTATTAAATTATCATTCTCTTTGTCCTTAAAGATGTTTACAATATACACACATGGATTCTAAGAGCTGTAGTGTTAAAATATAGTGAATATTGAATAGCAGTATATGACTGATGATTAAAATGCTGTGCTGCTTGTGTAAATCATGATCAAAATGCATGTTGAGAAGTCATATTTTGTGCCTGTGATGTAGCTGTCTACCTACTAAATTTGATAATCTGAATTCAGTTATTTTATGTAAGTTTAAAAAATTTCTGCTGTTGAATTGAATAATTGGCTGATTTTACTGCACTGGAGTTTGTAGCATTTGCACCTTGACTCTTCAGTAGCTAATGTGCCCTGCCTTTTGGCATGTGACGAAAAAGCTGCCTGTGAAGTTCCTGTACCAGTTTTTTGGATTAAAAGTGCAGCAGTAGTTGATTCATCCAAAATCGTATGCCACTGGAAAGGAAAACCAGTAATTCTTGGGTTTTCAGCTACCTTGTGAAGTAGGTTGTGGGCAGACATCTGTACAGGCTTTCACTATTACATGTGAAAAAACATGTAGGCAAGCTTTATTTTTTTTAAGGGAGACACAGAAAGAGATGGTTTCAGCACACAATGGAAAAACGTATTTGCATCTTTATTACTAGGCATGAGGAGGGAAAATAAAGATAGTAGTAGTCAAAAGTGACTGTCTTGTGTACACTTTTAAAAATACCTGTTCCCTAAGCCTATATTTTTTCTGAATTTGTGTCATAATAACTTTTTAATTTGTTTATTTGCAATTGCATTCTGAGAATTAACTTTTTCATTAAACATATTTCCAGGGAAGATGAAGTTTACTTGATCAGTCTCTTGGTCTCACCCTAATAACTTACGAACCAACTCTCCATTTTCAAACTTCAGTAAAGGGTTGGATGCTTCCAGGGGATTACATGGGTAGTGTTCTCACAGCAGGAAAAGCAGAAGACGTCTGCTTCTCCCGTTACTGGCCATCCAGTGTGCGTTTGTCGTCACTAAATACTTACCTCTGAACGAAGTACTGTCTTTTGAAACTCGGGAGCTTGGCAGTACTGCAGTAGGATGAGAAGGTCACAGGTGATTTGGAAGTAGCGAAGGCTACTGCACTTGAAAGATCCACAAGAGTACTCACAATAAGTAAAGAATATTTAGGAAGTATGAAGGGACACTAATTATATGGTTAAAAGGGTGTAAGGATGTAGGCAGAACGTTGGGTATTACAGTCATTGAGAGAACAGAGCGTAAAATCATCCATAGTAATTTGGGCTATTAGTTCTGCTGCTTTCAGGACACCTGGTTTATACTGGTATTTTATCAAACCATTATTTATTTAAATTGGGTAACAATAATTAGCATAACTTAAATGAATGGCTAATTGGGAACTTAATCTCATTCGTATACCTTGCAAAAACAATATACAAAACTTTTTTGTGAAGAGTTCAGTCTTATAGTAGGGCGTCATTCCAAAAGGTCGTGAGAATTATGGTCACGTATGTACCATATCAGATTAAAATGTAACATGTGGTAAACCACTTTAAAAACGAAGAATCCACCATATGCTGCATCAGGGAATAAATGGAATACCGTCTAATGCTAAACTTAGTCATATAGACATAATTTGGTTTCCAAGCCATGAAAAGCAGCCAATCAGGACTGGGCTTGGAAAGCCTGTTACAGCAGAATTTGTGTAGTTAAGTTGATGGATGGCAGAGTATTTGAGGGAGGTGGTTTATGCATTTTATGCAGTATCTGTTGGATGTACAAATCCAGGAAGTGCTTTTACTATCATCTTTTAATACTTAAAAGTGAGATTTGCATTTCTTTGTTGTTGAAACATAAAGATAGGCCTTTTTTTTTTTTTTTGTGTTGATTGTCTACTACTGCCTTTTGGTGTTCCAATTATGTCCATTAAGGAACATGAATTCCTAGTTTCAGGTAAATCTCAGCAAGAGATAATTGCTGAGATGTCCAGAATGGAAAAATTTGGAATAGTTGAAAACAGAATGCAGACGTGAAGAGTGCTTCCAGCCAAACAAACTTGTAAATATACACACACCTAGTACTCTCAGATGTTTGCAAGGGAGGAGAAGATTACTACTGTTTTGAACTTGGATATTTTGCTAAGTCCATTTTCCATTCTAAGTTATGTTGTTGCATAAGGGGCTGTTCTTGTTTTGCAAGAAGAAAACTAATAGGGAAGGGTCTGTTGAAGAAAGCCAAAGATTGATACTCAGGCTGTATGCTTGCATATTTAGATTCTCTGATGTTAATCAATCTCATTTAGTTGTTTTTCTGTGCTCATAATTACAATTTGTTCTTCATCATAATTGCAGTTAAACATAATTGTAACATAAATATCTCAGTTTCTCAATATGTGAGCAATCATATATTCCATGCTTTATTCTTTCCTGAAACTGGGATATTCTGACCTTGCAGTTCTTGAACAAAAACATGTTTATTTTTCAGTCTGTTTTGTGGATGATGACAGAAAAACAGGAAGGATTCAGTAATGTGAATAAGTTCACATATAGAGGAAGGTTGATAACAGCTCTAGCTGTCTTTTCTAAGAAAGGAAACCTAATATCTGAAAGGCTATTAGACTTCTTCCTTAAGAAGTCACTTGGGAATGGAGTTCATCTGACCGACTGCAGACCTTTGCATTTGAATAAATATTTTAACCTCCTTATGGTAATACTGAACCACATGCAAAATTCTTGTTTTTCATACCTCCACTGGGAAAATTGTAGTTATTTAGATCTACCACGTCCTTGGTGTTGCTTAATATTGACTTAGGTAGTTCACTGAGTCAAGGGACCATGCTAAAAATACCTGCCAATAAGTAACTTTTAAATTTTTTAGTTTTTCTGATATACCTTAATTGGTACTAGAATGTTATGCAAAAAAGTTACAAAAGTAGTTTTCAAATTTGAAAGCTTTTTAAAATTTCAATGAACAAACTGTAAAATATTGTGTAAATATCTGTGTTGTTCAAAGCGCACAAACATTGTATTCCACTGAGTTGAATTCACTTCAGTCAGAGTCTTTATTTATGAACATAACATGTTTGATTTACATCTTTATATTTAGGCTTCCATGTTCTAAGTCTTATGCAGATAGAAAAACTGTATGTGACAGCTATGCTTCTGTAGAAAGGTAGGTGATAGTGCTGTTATGAGGTATGTAATGGATTAGTAAGGTATAGACTTTCTTTACAATCCTTTGCCTTCCTCCAAAACCTCAGTAAGAATACATTATTTAAATAGTTATCTTTAACATCTTAATTTTGCAAGTGGTTTTGTACAGTATAAAATTCTAGGGGTCCAGCCCAGAAGAATGAGAGAACCTGTGAATTTCATTTTCATAATATGCTATATGAGAAGCTGTGAAACCAGTCCTCAGGTAAATGGAAAAGTGTCTTACTGTGAGCAATGGATGCAGTAATGTTGAGAGGATTGGCTTAAGATCTGCTGAAATATTTTCCCCTCCTCCTAAAACCAAAGACTGTTTGGGTGATTATGTTGCTGGTATGTCAAACACAGAAGAGGAAAGTTGGTTTAATGTTATGTTTGTGATTTCCAGAACAATTCAGTCCAGGGAGAGGGGGATTTAAAAAATACACTTTTATTTCTCCTCTTCTTTATACATGTGATTTGGTTACTTAGTAAATCCAGTATCTTCAAAATTAATCTGTTAATAATTTCAAGACAAAATTGCTTTTACCTGGTAAACTAGCTTAGGTGAGTCTAAAGATGTCCACATGATGAAATGAAGGTGCGATTGCAGCATGCCAGCTTACTCTAGTGTTTGCTCTAGCGGCTTTGTTGCCCCCAAAGGCAGCATGTTAGCGAGCACAACTGACACGGGGCCCGGGAGTGTGTACGGTGAGATCGCTAGCACTTGAAAAACCTGAGCTGCAGCTTTATTGTTATCACATATGCTGTCTAAACTTAAAGATACCTATGTGAAAACCATGCCCTTGTTTCATGTGGTAGATACAATTTCAGGATGACCTAAGTTACTTCACAGCTGGTGAAAAAAAACCCAACCAACCCCAAAAGATTGTAGTTCTGAATTTGTTTTGTTGCAATGTATTGCTCAAATAAGATAGAATAGGAAAAGTGGCCTTGAGACCTTACAAACAGGAAGTCTGCATGGGCAATTTCAAGATGATTCTTCTGTCTCTTCGGATTATATTTTGAATACAAATAAGACACTTTAGGATTGGGAAAGTGCCCAGTCATCGTAAATTTAAATATAGAAGAGAGCTGTTTAAGCTTACTGCAACAGCATTATCTATTAATTAATAATCTATTAATCTATCTTAATTATATAAATAATTAAGTTTTCAGATGTTCTTTAAGTCTTTCAATTTATAAACTGTTTTAATAGAAACAGTATAAGATGAATTTTACAAACTAGTACGAAAGTGTGTATGTGTATTAAAAATATAAAGCAAATTTAAATATATGAGATATATATATTTATTTTACTTCAGAGAGGAAGGCTTGAGATACTTGGCAAAGGACAGTAACTCGTGATAGCTGAGAAGAGCTGACTAGTCAGCACTCAGGAAGTGTTAGAAGCAATGAATGGTGTAAGAGAACAGCCCCAGAATAAAGAGCTAGAACGTTATCCATGTTTTGATCTGTTCTTAAGCTCTGTGTCCTTACAAGGTACTGGACAGATCCTTTTGTTTTTGTAATGATCTTTAGCACAGCTCTGATCCACCAGTTCTGCCTTTCTGGAATCTTATGACTTAGAGAAGCTTGTGGTGAATGTTTTGCTGGAAGAACTTGTGTCATTTGGCACATAGGCTTTTCAAAGGTAGTGTGCTCTTTGGTGTATGAAATACATCTGTGTACAAGCTCCATTCCTTTTTCCCTGAAAAGCAGAACTTTACCTGCCAGCACAGTGGTGACAGCAGTGGTAGTATAGACCCTGAAAATGTCAAACCTCTAGTAGTATACGATATGCTTTGATATGAAAGAAGTGTCTCGATTTCTGGTACCTGTTGTTTGGAGGAAAAAAATTGTCTCGTGCACTGAAATGTCTAGTAGAGTAATTTTTTCTCTTTTTTTTTTAAAAAAAGGAAGGAAGGCATAGATTTAAAAGTAAAGAAATGTTTTAATTACTTGCTGATTTGTTCTGTTGTCAGATATTTGCTCCATGAGCTGAACTAATTTACACTTCCTATATTATTTCAAATACAAGTGTGATGTGTATGCAGTATATAAGCTTCTGGAGGAGAGGATTCAGGAAAAAAACAGCAGTCTTGAGGTTTTGGCTGATGCATGTTGGAAAGTAAACCCTAGTTTTTGGATGTTGAGCTACTTAGGAAATTGTATTTATTCTAAAGTAATGTGATTCTGCCATATTTAAATTTTGACAGTACAAAAAGAGAGTGCTATATATTTTGAAGGTCCTGATATTTTCCTTCATTTTCATATAGGAATAATCAGTTTGTTAGCTGTGTTATTGCTCCAGATGCCTTGTTTTTGTAATGTCCTATTTTAAGACTGAGGTTTCCCATTGCAGAATTTTTTTGGGATTTTTCTGGCAATCTCAGTGTCTTATTAATAAGTAACTTAAAGAAAAAGGTTGTGCATGTTGGAGGCAGAAAGTCTTAAGTCTTTTAGAACATGAGATTCCTGAAGTGCTGTATTTACTTGGAAATGTAAATTTGCCAGAAGCTGTTAGTATAAATAATTTTACTCAGGGTTGTTTACTTAAATAAAAATTTAGAGAGGTAAGATGTTTGCTTCTGTTTAGGTTTGTGTATGAATTTTTATGTGGGGAGCTGCAGAAATTAATGTTTCAGATGAATGTTAATTGTTTAAATAATGTTCCAGGTTGTTGGTTTTCCACATTGAATAAAGCAGCGTGCTGGAGACTTGCTTACATTTTTTGGATTTCAGTCTACAGGAAGCCTATGAGGCAAAGAGGCACGAGTTCCGCCTTGAACTGCAAAGAAAAGAGGAGGAGATGAGACAACAGTTTGTGCAGAGAGTGAAGGAGAAAGAAGCAGTATTGAAAGAAGCAGAGCAAGGGGTAAGAATGCCTGTCTGTCCTGAGTTTTGTTTGCTGAGATTTGGAACAGTTAAGTTCTCAGCAAATCATAACTAGTTGATATTTATAATTTCCTAATATTTTGAGGGCAGTAATGCTTAAAATCAAAATCAGATTGATTGAATTAGCAGATTGATTAGACATAAGCAAACGAGAACAAGTCTTAGGAGCAGCTGGGAGAACCAGGGTTGTGTAGTCTTGTCGTGGTTTAGCCCAGCCGGTGGCTGAGCTACCATGCAGCTGCTCACTCCCTCCTCCCTCACCCCGTGGTGGGGTGGAGAGGAGAAAAAAAAAAAAAGTAACAAAAGACTTGAGGGTTGGTAGGAGAAAAGGGAGGGATCGCTCACCAACTATGCCGCCGGAAAACAGACTTGTCTTGGGAAAAAATCAGTTTAATTCGTTAACAGTTACTTGAGAGGATAGCAGAAACAAAGCCAGATCTTAAAAACACCTTCCACCTACACCTCCCTTCTTCTCGGGCTCTCCCTCCCCCCCCAGCAGCAAAGGGGGACGGGAGTGCCAGGTCAGTTCGCCACACACTGTTTCTGCAGCTCCTTCCTTAACGGGAGAGAACTCCTCACACTCTTCCCCTACTCCAATGTGGGGCCCCTCCTCAAGAGATTCAGTCCTCCAAGAACTTCTCTGACATGAGTCCTTCCTGCAGGATGCAATCCTTACCCATCAGATTGCTCCAGCACAGGCTTTCTCCACAGAGTCCCGGCTTTTTAGGGTGCAAACACGTGCTGTGGTGTGGAGTCCCTTTCCCATGGACTGCAGATGCATCTCTGCTCCACTGTCAGTCTCCAGCAGCATGAAGGGTCCTTCCCACGGAGACAGTCCTCTATGAACTCCTTCGAGTGCAGGCATCTCTGCTGCAGCGTAGAGTCCTCTCCCACGGGCTGTGGATGGATCTCTGCTCCACTGTTTCTCGCATGGCTGCAGGGGCTCTCAGCTCTGGCACGCCTCCTCCCGCTCCATCTTCACTGACTTTGGTGTCTGTGTGGCCGTTTCTCTCAGGTTTCAGTCCTCTCTCTGCTGCAACTTTGGCAGTCCCGGCAGGATGAACTCTGCCCAACAGGAGAGGAGCACTTCGGAGCTCTCCAAGCCGTGCTGCCGTAGCCAACACCAGTCCAGTGGTGGCAGCCCAGCACGGGCAGCTGTCAGCCCTCTACCTCCCTCCTCTCTTCACTGCTTGTTCTGCCTGGTTTGAGTTCCTTTGTCCCCTTCTTAAATATGACATTTGCAGTGCTGACTGACTTGGCCCTGATTCAGAGATGGGCCTGACCGATTTTGGAGCTGGAGGAAGCTTCTTGCATCTCCTTATAGAGGGTCTCTCTGCAGCCCCTCACCTGTTACCAGAATCCCACCATACAAGCCCAACACAAGTCTGGATGAAAGGAGGATCAGGGGAGACCTTATCGCTCTCTACAACTACCTGAAAGGAGGTTGTAGTGAGGTGGGAGTTGGTCTCTTCTCTCAAGTAACAAGCGATAGGACGAAAGGAAACGGCTTCAAGGGAGGTTTAGATTGGATATTAGGAAAAATTTATTCACTGAAAGGATTGTCAGGCATTGGAACAGGCTGCCCAGGGGAAGTGGTGGAGTCACCATCGCTGGAGATATTTAAAAGATGCGTAGATGTGGTGCTTAGGGACATGGTTTAGTGGTGGACTTGGCTGTACTAGGTTAACAGTTGGACTCAATGATCTTAAGGGTCTTTTCCAACCTAAGTAATTCTATGATTCTATAAATGGCAGTCTTTTTTTAGAAGGAGGGAGATTGTGGTGTAAAGGCTTTGGTGGATAGCTGGGTCAAGTCAATAGAGTAGGAGGTGATATGATGAAGTAAGAGAGTGATGAATATAATGGTTGTATGTTCATCTTCTCTAGCAGTATGCTGAGAAACATCGGTATGCCAGAGCAGCACAGTAGGTGCTTTTCATGTGTAGGTTGCTTTGTAAAAGACAAGATTTCAGGAAAAAATCCCATGGGTTGTTTTTCAGACAAGAGAGTGGAGCATGTATGTTTGTATGACCTCCAGGTTCAGTTATTAAATATAAGCTCGACCCTCATGTTGAGAGGTTTGGAGATGTGGAACATGTCTTAAATACGTTGTTGAAAATTTAGTCCTGTCAAGCTGGACTGGCAAAACAGGATCTTCTCATCTACTTTCTGCCAGATTCTATCATGGTCATGCATGTTTATATTCAAACATTGGTTTAATTGAAATCTGAAACCTGTATATATTTATTAATGTTCTTTTCTGTACCTCAGTCTCCCAGCAAAGATGTAGTGGTTTTTGCGAGATGTTCAGATGCATGTTTTAAATAAGAAGAAGGCAATAGATTTACTTTGTTTTCTAAATCTATTAAGTCCCCCATGCTACTTGTGGAGAAAAAAACAGGTTCAGTCCTTCTCAGTGTGAGGCTATCCAATTGGAAGAATACTTGGCCATGTTCAAAATAGGTTCAGCTAGATCTTACACAGTATCTGTGATATCCTTTGATGTTTTCCTTCTATGATTTATACCAGGTGGTTTGTGAGCTCTGCATATTGCATTTGAATTACGGATGTTAGTTTTTCCAGTTCCTGATGTGGGACAGTGATCATGCAGTCACTCCTAAAGAATATATACCCTTGCTGCTTGTTCTCTGAGAAGTGTGTGTGTGTGTATCTGGAAACTAAAGAAAAACAGGAATTTCTGTTGTACTTAAGATTGCTTTCACATCCTTCATTTAGAGGAAACTTGTAGGTGCAGTGTGCAGCATTACCACTCCTGAGACATATAGTTGCTTAGGACCTTACTGGTCCTACCTGAATTGGTGTACTTGTTTTTGCAATGCATCTGGCTAACTGTTGTGATTAAATAAATAAATGATTAGAATACATACGTACACACACACATTTACAAACTCTGACAGCTCTACTGTGTAGAACAGACATACTGTTACATTTATAATCTTAGTTATTTCACTGTTACATTTATAATCTTAGTTATTTTTAGTTCGTTCTTTGCAAAAGATAGAAATAAATCTAATTTCTATACCAGTATAGCTGGACTCAGATCAAGTTACACCAATATGGATGGATACAGAAGCAGGATTCTAGATGAGTGTGTGTGGGGAGATGGGAGAAAGGGTGGAGTGAAGTACCCTTTGGCTATCATGCAGAACTTCACAGTAGGTTTAAACTGGTGAGAATGCATCTGAAGAATAAAATCCATTAATATGTCAAAGGAACAATCAAAGAACAATTACTGCAGAAAAGCAGTTAACTTCTTGCAGCCCACAAGTAAGTGTCCCAACCAGACTTACTAATACTCATCAAAAGAAGCGTGGCCAGCAGGTCGAGGGAGGTGATTCTGCCCCTCCACTCTGCTCTTGTGAGACCCCACCTGGAATACTGTGTTCAGCTCTGGGGTCCTCAGCCCAAGAAGGACGTGGAGCTATTGGAGCGAGTCCAGAGGAGGGCCACAAAGATGACCCGAGGGTTGGAGCACCTCTCCTAGGAAGACAGGCTGAGACAGTTGGGTTTGTTCCGCCTGGAGAAGAGAAGGCTTCAGGGTGATCTTGTAGCAGCCTTCCAGTACCTGAAAGGGTCCTACAGGAAAGCTGCAGAGGGACTTTTTACAAGGGTATATGGTGATAAGACAAGGGGTAATGGCTTTAAACTGAAAGGGAGTAGATTTCGATTAGATATAAGGAAGAATTTTTTTTGCAATGAGGGTCGTGAGGCACTGGAAGAGGTTGCCTAGAGAAGTTGTGGATGCTCCATCCCTGGAGGTGTTCAAGGCCAGGTTGGATGAGGCTTTGAGCAACCTGGTGTAGTGGAGGATTTCTCTGCCCATGGCAGGGGGGTTGGAACTAGATGATCTTTAAGGTCCCTTCCAACCCAAACCATTCTATGATTCTATATTAAAATAATATATATATGAGAAAATACATACCTGTGTAACTAAAGTATGTATGATTCCTTGTCCACTTGGTTTTAGGGAAGTAGATTGTACTTGGCAGATCCTGATTTAATCCTTTTGTTGGTAATTATTTCCTCTCCGAAGGCCTCCTTATTTTTGATATAATAAAGATATAGTAAACTCTAATAGGAAACCTAATTTTCACTTAGTGCCTTCCATGGTTTCCACCTGTACCTTGTACGTAATAGCCTGGCTTCTATTAGAACAATCTGATATGAATGATTATTTTTTCTGGATTGCTATTTCTTAGTCTTATGAGTTTTGGGAAAGAACTGCAATTTCTTAAGACTTTTGACACAAGTTTTACTGTTTGCTTGCAGAGGGTTTTTGTTTTGTGATATCACCACCTTGTGTTACTAGTTGGGAATATTTTTCTTTTGTGCTTTCTTTAAACAGATACAGACTAAATTCGAGCATCGTATGCTAATGCATCAAGAAATGAAACAGAACTTAGAGAAAAAGAAAAAAGTTCTAGAAGATGAAATAGCTATGTTTATTGAGAAGAAAGCTGATGGTGAATTGCGCCAATCACAAGCATCTGTCTCTACCCCTGTTGTTAGTTTGAAGAGAGACAAGGACCGCAAAACGTAAGTCTGATCTTACATCTAGCTGATGCTAGTCATCAGAGGCAGCATTAAAAACACTCTTCACATACACTTTTATAATGCAATTTTCAGTAATCTTTTAGAAAAGATACAAACATGCTCCTATTCTGTTATGTGAAGACAGAAGTGTGTAAAATACCCTCATGCTTTGCTTTACTTTTAGAGTAATTGCTGTATGTTCTATGAGCTTGCTGTCTTTTTTTTTTTCCCTTTCTTCTTTTTCCATGAAGGAGCCAAGGTTTTCGGCTTGAAATCCTGTGCTTTGATGTCAGAAATGAAGAAACTGTGAAAGATCATGAACAGAGCGAGAGGGAGAGAGAGAACTTAGAGAGGGAAAG